GGGGGGGGGGGGGGGGGGGAACCTGCGGGCACACATACACACGAGCACTCACACAAAAAGTAAATAGTTTTTACTCTTTAATCTTTGATTGACTAAATATCCTTAAGGCCAGGCGTTTTGATAAACCCACATGTCCCAGTAGCTGATGAAACACAATACATAACTGCCAGAACAAAGTCATAAACCACTTGGAGAATAATCATCTAGTATGGTACTCCAGGGCACTAAAGAACCAACATATCCTATCTCGGAATTGATAACCATTCCATCAATTTATCAATCAATCAACTAAGGCTCAATCCAGAAATATCGAGGAATTCATAACCATTCTATCTATTCAGACCTAGAGTCAATATTCATCAAGTGCTGAAATAAATAAATAAAAACATATAGAACGCAAAGCTAAGTAGGACGTGGATGCTTATAGGCCAAAATGCCCTTCTCTCCATGAACTATATCATGTATTTCCCAAAATTATTTCATTAAAATTTCATAAAAACTTAAGCAATTTCAGAAATAAAATATAAATCCTAAAACAAATCTCATCAGAATAGAAGCAATTTCAGAAATGTAACACAGTTGAGATCAGTAAAAGGCAAAAAGAAAGTAAAACCAAAGAATCATCAATCAAACAATTAATAAATTAATCTAACGTACGTATTTGAGAAATGCAGAAGTAGACAAGTAAATAAACACAGTTTCAGAATTTATAGAACCTTGAGATCAAGTAGAGAGGAATAGGACTGGCCGCGAGCGAGCTTAAAAGCTCGGAGGAGAATTCCGATGCCAACGCGCACACCGTAAGAGAGAAGAAAACTTTGGCAAACGTTACCGATAGCGTTGGCAACGCAGGATTCATCGGCATGGTCACAGGGCGGGTATAAACCCCGGGCACGACGTTGCCGGCGCTGAAGCTCTCCAATTGCCTCTCTCAAGCGTTCCTCCGCCTCACGAAGACGGCGCTCGGCGGAGACACCGCTGTCAGTGGAGTCGTTAGGTAGCTGCGGCGGGGAAGAAGAGGGCAGAGGATGCATTTTGGGGAGAGGGCGATAGATGAGGGTTCTCGCATCTAGAGAAAGAACAGAGTTGATTTCCGCTGCTTTTTTCTCTTCGAAAGGTGTGCAGCGATTGAACAATTTTATATTGATGATGTAATAATTAGAATTATTGTAATTCTTTGTCCCATTTTAGGCTGACGACTAATGTGTTTGTTTTGGTCACAAAATGTAAGAAATTAAAATCGTCCACTACTTTATTTTTAGGCTAAGCTCATATCATTACCATATTAAATAAAAAAATAATTGTTATAAAACAATAAAAGAAGAAGAGCATTATAGAGAAAAGTAGAGAGAAATTTTTTATTGATTTGGGAACAATTACAATGGAATAGAACTCTTTTATTTATAGGGAAAAGTGACTTAGCCACCAAGTAACAACCCTAAAATCTCTCTAAAATATAGACATTCACCATAAATAAAATATTATTTATAACACTCCCCCTTGAATGTCTATTCAACAGACAATATGCATCGTTAAAGCCTTAACTAAAATAAAACCCAATGGAATTTTTTTTTACACATGTTTAGAAATACGTCTTTTGGTTGCCTCGTTAAAAACCTTGCAAGGAAAACCAAGTGGGACAAAACCTTATAAGAGAAAAAGAGTACAACACGTATTAACTCCCCCTGATGAGAGTATCAATTCACATCCTTGAGCCTTCATATTCTAATATTGTGCACCATCTTCTAAAGATCGTTGGTATAGATTTGATAAATAAATCAGCCATATTAACTTGAATGAATATGTTGCACCTTGAAATCATCATTCTTGAGAGATATGTAATGTCTTCATAAAATATCGTGGAATGGCCTTTTCAATATCTCCATAGAGATTCTCGCAATCATATTATCATGCTTATAGTTATAGCAAGATGCATATGTGCACAAATTGCACTTAGGATATGGTACTTCAGGGCCAAGAATTGTATATGCTTTAAGCAATTTAAACCCTTTAGAGATTGTCATATAAGTATAGTCATATAAGCCATATGAATGGACTTTAGATGCATATCAAGTTTTTATGTCATGCTAGACATATAAGATAGATAAAGTGATTGCACACACCATTGACTTTATACTTTGATGTGTTTGAACTGCATGTCAAAAACTACATGTCTTCCATATGAAATCAATTCTACTTAAATTATTTCTCAAGAATTAAGATCCTCATATATTTTTAGCGCTATTATAGATGTCGTCGACAAACATTTTATATCAGTTCCAACCTCCTTATTTTTTATAAAGACATAACATAGAGATTTCTTCATTCATATATTCAAGTACCTGAACCTCTCCTGAGATTTTATGAAGTATTATGTCATATGATCTTCTAGATCACTTGCCTCCTTAATATGATCATTTTGATCATTTGCTCATCTTTTTTATCAAGAAATTTATTTGAAACCGATTTGTCTATACGCTTTAAACGTACCATAGACTTTGTCCTTCTAGGACTTATTCTAGGACAACTCACGTACCATAATATCAATATTTGGAATCGCACAGACAACTCACGTGCCGCACGGATAACTCACGTGCTATAATATCAACAACTGGAATCGCACGGAGAACTCACGTGCTATAGTGACAACATCCTCACAAACAGGCTCGCGACCTCACTTAGTCATCAATCTCTCCAGTCTCACTCACGGGCTCACAATGTCATAAAACTAGCCCGACAACAATGATATGATGTATCAATAAATAACTAAGACTGAGATATGATATGAATGCATAAATATGACTGAGTACGAAATATCAATGAAATCAATGAGATGACAGTAAGAAACGACCATTATGGGTCCAAACAATATCGGCATAATGCCTAAACATGATATCTAGCATGATTGACACCTTAACTACTGTATCACATAGTGAAAACATGGATATCAACAAAGTAGGACCATTACACAGTGCCATAAAAATAACAGAGTCCTAATTCACATGGTGCACGCCCACACGCCCGTCACCGAGCATGTACGTCACCTTAATACCAATCACATAACATGTATTTTGGAGTTTTATTACCTCAACACTAAGATTAGAAGGGTTACTTACCTCGAACAAGCCAATACCAATGCTGATCAAGCCAAGCGATGCTCCAAAGATGCCATCCCGCGCGTTCCTGCCTCCGAACGGCTCGAAACTAGCCAAAAATAACTCAAATGCATCAAACAATGCTAAAGGAACCAATCCTGATCGAAAAGATCAAATCTTGAATCAAAAGTCCAAAATCGGCCAAAAGCCCAACCCGGGCCCGCACCTCATAACCTAACAAAATTCATAAAATCCGACAACCCCTTCAATTACGAGTCCAACCATACTAGTTTCACTCAAATTCGACTCCAATTCCATGTTCAAAGCTCAAAAAATCTTATTATGAAACATTAGGCCAAAACCCTCAATTTCCTCTTTAAAATTCACAATCCTATTACCAAAAACGAAGGTAGATTCATGGAAAAAGATCAAAACCAACTGTAGAACACCTACCCCAATCCTTGTGATGAAAATTGCTCCAAAAGTCGCCTAAACCGTGCTCCAAAATCCAAAAATGGGTGAAAAATTGTGAACCCTCGAACTTAAAGGGTTCTGCCCAGTCAATCCTCACCTGCGGACAAGAGGTCACATCTGCAACCTTCGCTTCTGCGGGAAAAATCTCGCTTCTGCGAGAACAGCTTGGCCAGCCATGATCGCTTTTGCGATGCCTAGCACCGCACCTGCGGTCGCGCTTCTGCGCGCAATGGCCGCTTCTGCGGGCCTCCTCATCCAACTCTCATCTCGCATCTGCGATGCCTTTGTCGCACCTGCGAGCCCATTTCCGCAAGTGCGAAAACACCAGAACCAGGAGCCTTCAACAATGCAATATGCAACGAAATTGATCTGAACCTCGTCCGAAACTTATCCGAGCCACTCGGGAACCTGTCCGAATATACTAACAAGTCCAATAACATAACACAAACCTACTCGAGGCCCCAAATCACGCATAACAACATCAAAATAACGAATCGCACCTCAAATCGAAATCTATGAACTTTGAACTTTCAAATTCAATAACTCGTGCTGAAACATAGCAAATCAATCCGGAATGACTTCGAATTTTGCGCACAAGTCCCAAATAACATAACTAAGCTATTCTAATTTCCAGAATCGGATTTCGACCCCGATATCAAAAGTCAACCCCCCGATCAAACTTCCCAAAAATTTAACTTTCGCCATTTCAAGCCAAAATTAACCACGGACATCCGAATCAAAATCCGGACGCGCTCCTAAGTCCAAAATCACCCAACGGAGCTAACGGAACCATCAAAACTCCGTTCCGGGTTCAAATTCACAAAAAGTCAAACTTGATCAACTCTCCCAATTTAAAGCTTCAACCATGAAATCCATTCTTCCAATTCGATTTCGAATAACCTGAAAATCAAAACCGATAATTCACAAAAGTCATAATACATCATACGGAGCTACTCATTCCCTTAAACAACCGAGCGAAGTGTAAATGCTCAAAATGACAGGTCGGGTCATTACATCCTCCCCCACTTAAACATATGTTCGTCCTCGAATGTGCCAAGAGTTGTTTCCAAGCCACCAAATCACTATTCCATCTTACCACGCACGTATCCGGGGTGAACCCACGTCACCCTATCCCATATAGGTCTGATAACATCACATAACTGAAATTCCTTAATTCAACCTAGCCCACATGGCTTAGAATCCAATTTTCCAACATCCGGAATTTCTTATAAGATCTGAATCCCCCAACCTACACACTGTATAAGTTTGAACAAGCCGTACCAAAAGCCGTAACTATAACCCAAATACTGAAAACTCAAACGCCACTTAGCTCAAATGCTCGAAGCAATGATTTCTAATCACAGTAGCTGCTCAAAATAACCCAATGCCAGTAATAAACCTCATATCAAACAAGACTCCATTCTCAAACCTTTGTACACTACCGATGATGAAGGAAACACGCAGAAACTCATAAACATTCATCATATCCACCAGTCGTGGAGCTCCCTCTCCTTCGACAAGAACCATAGCAAATTTCTAAGCCGACTTTCGATATTATCCTTCCAAATATACCACAATCAAATCTGATAGCACCCATCCTAGATCCGATAGCTCCGTCTTATCAAATACCAGCTACTCTACTGATATGCCACACCAATACTATCTAAAGCCACAACATGTGCAACCCGTGCACCAATAAGCAACATTTCAAATGTACTCAATCACGAAAATAACTCAAACAAAAGAACCGTCCCGGAAGCTCGACGGGTACCACCCCAACGCAATGCTAAAAACCTATCACACACCGTAGAACCATAACACACGAATCTAACACAAAGGATCATATCTCAACATAACTCTGACGTAATGCGCGACCCCATCCAAACACTGTTTCATATAAAATACCTCAGCCACCATGCTCAAAATCAATAACTACGCACAATCCGACATCAAGTATTCACAGTACATTACCATAACCATAGAGAAGCAAATGACACAATGCCACACAAACCCAAAAGAACATAACCAATGCGCAACCACTCATGCATCACCCAAATACCCATCTCGCACAAATTCCGCTATAAGGCCCCAATAGAACTGCACCACGTGTGCTTATAACTAACGAATCACAACTCCTCGTAGCATAGAAGAGTAATTCACCGAACATAACAGAACACGAATAAGCTCAACAACAACCGAATGACACATCCCTCAACAATAGCAGTATGGAGCCAACCAATCCGACTCGGTGTAGAATACACATCCTAATTGGGCCTAACAATGGGCCCCCAAATCAACTTCGGGCACCCACACATGGATAAATAACCCTCCGAAAGCCCACAATGACTGAATCATAACACATACTATCATCTAGCTAGCTTCGGCCATGACTTCACAGTCCACAACCATGAAAACAACCTGCTCTTGAGAACTCCCAGTCTCCAATTCCATAGAACACATGAATCCCATATATGATCCCAACTCCACCGCTAGAATGTCTAACACATCTCTCATACACGATCATCCCACGAGGAATACTTCTAAAATTCTTCCG